AAAGGCATGTAGGGAGGGATGAAGGGATGTAGGAAGGGGAGTAAAGAGGAATGAAGGGATATGGGATAAGGAGGATGGATTGTTAAATCAGAGACAAACGATGCCGGATGTGTGGGCATGGTTAAAGTCGGAGGTGATTGAGGCGTGTCCCTGCTCCCAAACCTCAGTTAACTTAATATATAGGCATATTAATGATAAATACATGTATATAACTTCTTGCAGTTTATGTAAAATAGAGCACCAATAATGGATGACCACCTGAACAATAAGCACCGTAACTTACATTAAATGGGGCTGTTTCTGTGAACTGCTTAATGGTGCGTCACTTTAATGTAGCGGTTGTAGAAGGCATTATCTCTTTTCCTTTTGTTAAGGATTGTGTAAAGGATCCAGTGTATCCTTTTTAAAGGGGATAAGAAAAGAAGCATGCATTTACAGAATTATAACAGCTCTTATCATGGCTGCCTCTTAGGTACTTTCAGCTCACTTAACTATGCGACGAATCATCCTAATCGACCACAAGCCCTTATTCAAAACATGGCGCTATCACCCTGAAATGAACATTGTTAGGGCACTAACGGCCCGTCCACACACAGGCATGAAAACAATCTTGAAAAATCTTGATGCTGGGCGTGTCTGAAGCTTGGCGATTTTTTGCGAGCAACGCGACCAACAACCAATCACATGAATCTCCCGCCCCCGACATACAAAGCAATAGCAATGTTTAAAACGAAGTAAACTGGATATAAAATCCCCAAACAGGCGAAAACCTACAGTTTCACCCACTGTCTCTGCCACCTCCCTCCATGCCTGGTTCCTCCGGTTTGTATCCCGGTAAATAGTTCTGGTCGTAAAGAACCGGGTGATTTGCTACCTTAATTTCTCGTTTGGAATATGAGGAAATGAACTGCGGTCTGGCTCTCCCAGCTTGCACGCGGTTTGATTGGCTAGCGCTTGTACTGGCGGGATTTGCATAAACGGGATTTGATTGGCTGATGCCAGCTTCGAAAGCATCGGGAGCATCAAAAGTTGAACATTGCTCAACTTTTGATGCTCACGATGCTTGCAAAGCCATGCTCCGCTCCCCACAATGCAGTTCGGCGAAGATTCAAAATGTTCTACGTCACCCCATTCAAGTGAATGGGCGAAGCTTTGACATTTTTTTTTCATGCCTGTGTGTGGACGGGCCGTTAGTAATACAACGGATTTTGTCTATCTACCATGTGTTAGACGGGCTATATTATGCTCATTTTCAGGTTCATATTTGTATTTAGTGTCTCTGCTGTGACATGTCTCCATGTTCAAAAAGCTCTTTCTTTTCTCATACTGCCTGTGCTGCAGCACCTCTTTTCACCCTGTGTCTGAAACCAGAGCCCGGTCTACTCTGATTGGTTAGCGGGCCGGCACTGTTGTGATGGATCAACCACTTACAGATGTCCCCCCCCTTAGCAAATCACGTGCAATGTGTTGAAGTACTAGCCAATAAAAGTGTGAGTGTTAGTGATGTCATTATGTCAGGGAACTCAACAAAGGAGTCCAATGGAGGCGTTTCAGGCAGGGGGGGAGTGTGTGGCAGAGAAGCTCCCTCTGGAGGGCCCTTTGCGGATCATTTACATGCACAAAAACATATTACAGGTAAAGGGAAACCCAAAATAGCATAAAAAGGCTCCTTTAATAAGGGCTTCTGTAAAGCAGAGTGCTTCTGATCTTCCTATGAAGAAGATAAGAATTTAAACGTATGAAAAATCCAATCACACATATGATAATAGCCGATTGAGAAAGTGATCACTCTCCTATGGAACATACTTTGACCTCAGCGCCTTCTCCTCTGACAATATTTACCCTGCCTGAGCCGGCTACGCTAACCAGCCCTGCTGCGGTGAGAAGATGAAACATCTCCAATATTAATCTCTCCGTCTGAATTGCCTCACACCTCCATGTCAGGGCCCTGCAAGGTCACCACATGTGATGAGAATCAATGGCACCGCCTGTCCTTGGAGTTTTTCTTATTTCGCTCTGGGGTACAGGGGGAGGGAAGCATTGGCCCTGGCCCTCGGCAAGATATTCCAGAGAGTGATCCTCTACAGTAACAGTATAGATCAAGGGCTAGCATGATGCAGGATCAAACCGTCCGTATCTATCCTGTGGACACTGCCATTCACTATTGATTACCCCTCGCCCTGTGGGAGTCATGTGACACAGAGACAGAGCATACATCACTGATATTAATTATGGTTGGACGCTTGGAAGAATGTAGAGGGGGATGAGATCGACCGACCGTATTGTAGAGCTTCAATGGGGTACATCAGCTTTAAAATGCTGCACTGATGGGGGTGTGTGTGTGTGTGTGTGTGTGTGTGTGTGTGTGTGTGTGTGTGTGTGTGTGTGTGTGTGTGTGTGTGTGTGTGTGTGTGTGTGTGTGTGTGTGTGAAATGGGTTGGTGCTGGTCAGAAAAAGGGGTAAGGCAAGGCGCTAAGAATGATGACTTTAAATCTCACAGGGACAAACGTTTGCAGTTCTCCGACAGCCTACTAAGTCACACATCCCCCCATGTCACACACACACCCACACACACACACACACACACACACACACACACACACACACCACACACACACACACACACACACTCTATACTACAGCATGTAGCAGAGGAAATTACTGATGGACATCACAATGTGCCGAACATCCTCAGACAGGCAAATACAAACTGGAGATAACAGCCATCACTCTCAGGACAGTGTGGGTGTTAACAAACCTCACGCTGTCACCACCCTCATGGATTTCTCTGTCTCTCTGTGCCTGATTGAAAGTTGTCCGGCCCATCCTGACCCGACACCAGCAGATAGTCCCCTGGTAGCAATTGCACAGAGGTGGTAACTGTCTGTTTTTGGATTGATAAACCTTAGCAGTCAGCAGTTGTTGTCTCCTCTTTCATTGGAGGGATGCAATAGGGACTCTAATATTATGGGAAAACAACAGAGAGAATAATTAAGTCAGGAAATCTCTATAATTTGTTATCGATCTACTTCCCGTTATGTTGCTTAGGAGTAGTGTATTTGCCGTGCATGTTTTGGGTCAAGCAGTTACTGTGGTGTCTTTCTGATTCTAACAGCTTTTCCTTCATCAAACTTAATCTCATTTTGATTTTAAATCCTCTCTCCGTATCCCCTGTGTATACTTCCCTCTGCTTTATATACTCATTTACTTGTTTCGCAGACACACAAATATCCCTTTGTGCTATTGACATAATTGTTAGTTAAAGAATGTGGTTTGTGCCACAAACCTTAAACTGATAGAACAGCTGTACAAGAGAGCTATCAAGGTGTTTGACAGAAAGCCAGATTCATACCATCCTTGAGAAACACCATTTCTTGAGTTTTGACCATTTTAAGTCTTTTAAAAGTATTTGTTTTTTTTATAAATGTTTACATTTACCCTTAGGGGAATTCATCCACACAAAAAAAACTGGACGCTGCAGAGGAATGGTAAATGGACTGTACTGTACTTATATAGCGCTTTATCCAGTCTTAAAGACCCCTCAAAGCGCTTTTACATACTACATGTCGTTCACCCATTCATACAGAGCAGTGTATGTTACTCTAGGACCTAACATTCACACACCGTTGGCCATCAGGAGCAACTCAGGGTTAAGTATCTTGCCCAAGGATACATCGACATGTTGACTGCACGGGCTGGGATCAAACCCACGACCTTCTGGTTGAAAGACGACCGCACTCCCTCACAGCCACAGTCGCCCTGTGGAGGTGACTGTGGTCCACTGCAGACAGACCACTTTTGGACAAAATGTCCACTCCATTAAAGGCAGCTCATTGTGGAATAGCCTCCCAACTGAGATACGGGATTGTCCCTCTCAATAGCTTCAAAGGTCAACTCAAAGAATGGTTGAGAATCAAACAGATGTGCAATCACCGCTAAATGCACTTTAACACAGGGGTATCTCCTCTTGCACTTTATGTAGCTCTTTTATCTCCTCCTGCACTTTACATGTCGTAGCTGCTACATTGTACTACCTTGTGGTAAATGCTGCTGCTCATGCTCTTTCTGCATATCATGTATTTCTGTTTGCCATGTATATAAATGTTTTGTTCATAAATGTTATATGTGACGGGACTACGGATGGAAATTAGCTCAAAGCTAAAATCCGGCTCATTTACATTTCAAAGCATTATTTTGTTTAAAATGTTCATTAATGTGCATTGTCCCGGTTCAAATAAACGATTAAATGATGTTTCTTGACTGTATGCAAGACATTTGTTTTATTTGAGGTATTTTTTATTGTGCTATAACCCCCTACGTTTTTTAATCCTCTCTAAGTGAGGTCCCACATTTTAAAACGTAACTAGGCACACCATGGGGATCATCATCATATCTTTATTATCCTAGAAGGAATATAAAATTCTAACTAATACATTCAAATGGTCAGAGAGAGGTCGAGTGGGTCAATTTACCCCCCAGAACAACAGTCTGCCTCCAGTCCCTGAAAAGGTGCCTCCCTTAACACAAGAGAACATAATGCTCTCAGATGTGCAGTATTCGTCAGCATAATGAGGTAATATATGAAAGTGTTTGCCTTGTTGTCAAATATTCATTCTGCACATATTTGCCAAAAATGCAAAGACTTTGGAATTTTCTAATTTGTTCGTATTTGTTAATAGAGCATGTTAGGAAAACACTGCGTAAGGTTTATAGTTTTATTTATTCCTACTCGGTTCTGTATTATTGGGGCAATGGTAATAAATAAGCCCCTCTTTATTACTTTCCATTGTAATTCTCTAGATTAAAAGTAATGATTTAAACTGATTAAAATCTGGACCATTCTATTTTATCTATCTCTTTAAAGTCCCCCAGCTTTATAGAAAGGCGATACTAAATAATGTATGTGGCCCCTTAAAGAGAGGCGTGTGTGAGGGGGTGTATGATGTGAGTATGTGGGGTGGCAGCCTACAAAAGGGGAATCAGCAGCGGTGGAGGAGCAGATGTGAGACACACATCGCAGGGGCCAGACCATAATTAGCCGCGGATATACTGCCGGGAATAACCGGATTATTAAAATTTGAGGAGGGATCGAGAGAATTCGGTGTCATACAAGGCTAAGGGATTAAGTTACGCGTTTTCACTCCTCCGGTCGCCGTTATGGGGATAGACCGACGCCGGAGAGCATCTATGGCTCTCACCTTGAACTTCCTGGCTTTGTTCCTGGCGGTGTCGGCTCTCACCACCAGCTACTGGTGCGAAGGGACGCGCAAAGTGGTGAAGCCGTTCTGCACTGGCCCGTTCACCGCCACCAGGCAGTCGTTCTGCATCAGGTTCAACAGCTCCAACCTCAACGACACCAGGCTGGTGCAGTACATCTGGGAGACCGGGGAGGATAAGTACGTGATGAGGAAGTTTCACACCGGGATCTGGTTCTCCTGCGAGCAGAACATTAACATGACCGGTGAGTTTTTGAAAAGAAACGAGCAGCGAGGATGAGTGGGTGCGCAGCGGGGCGCGCAGGCTGTGCGTCACGGAGGCGCATCGTCACCAAAGTCATGCTTTGAGTAAAAATCTTCCATAAAGACACCTGGTTTAACACAGACTATATTTAGTTATCGATCCCAGAAATATATTTAAAAGTTAAATCAGAAACGCACAGCACTATCCATGAAATGGTTACAACCATGTGGTGCCAAATATAACATCAAGTACACATGTTTTGACTACTGCTGCTCATTTTTGTCTGTTTTTGCTCTGAGTATTTGAAACGTCTTGTCTAAAGTGTAGGTTATTGTATTGTGTCATATTATAACTGTTACAAATAAAAGATATTGATGAGAAATAAGAAAATGCAACACCTGGTCATCAGTGTTGAAGAAGCAGGTGTTTGTCCAAACAATATATATCGGAATTTCAAACCAAGTTTTTGCTGAACTGAGAATAAGGATTGTAGGTCTATAAATGTGTCAGAAAGGTACATTTAAAAATGTACAATATTCAAGTTAACATATTGGAGTTGCTTAATAATTGAATAATAATCCAAAAACTAAAAGGTTTTTAGTGCAATATTAAAATTCAGGAAGAGGAAAAACTGGACATGTGGATCTGCTAGGGGAAATTGTTGAGCTTGTTTTCGCACAACACAAAGGAAATCCGTTCACAGATTGGATTAAATATTGATTTTGTTTTTTACATATCAGCTCTATCTGTGGATAGAGCTAGACTTTCTATCTCTATCTGATAATACAGTAATACACGATGGATTTCCTGTTTCGCTTATCAGCATGTTGCATAGTGCTTATACACCAACTGTCAATTAAATGTCTAATTATTGTTTTCTAGGTGAAAACTGCAGAAGTTTCCTTAATGTCGCACCTTCAAATGAAAGAGGTAAGTATATTCATAAAATGTTATCACTCACACAATTCATACATCCTTAGGTCCCCGATTCAAGTAAATGTACCATACGCAGTGTGGACCGGTACCTTGAGAGGTGCCAGTTGGTCCACTGGTTAAACAACCCAGTCTCACGGCATTTTGTGTTATAGTCACAAAATACATTTAATCTATTGATTCGTGTTCACCAACACCATTTTTTTTTCGTGTCACACAACGATTTTAAAGGCAATGTATTTATATTGGTAGTATGTTCCTGCACCACGTCTTTTTGTCCGGTCGGGTCTTGGAAGACCGGAAGCTGTGTGGTTCATAAAAACATTTTCTTACTCAATCAAGCCACAATTATTGTCAGAATACTGAAATCTGTATTTTTTAATTCTTTTTTTCCTTCTAATTTGTTATTTGGTGCAGGCACGAAACATACTACCAATAGAAATACATTGCTTTTCAAATCGTTCTGTGTCAGAAGACTGACATTTAAATGGCATTTAACATATTTTGTCACTGTGATGAAATACTGGCAATGCTTGCACCACTGAGACAGTTGTTAGAACATCTGTTGGCTGCCATACTTCTTTCATCTGTGAGCCTACATTAAATCTGAAGCTTTATAAGTAGGCTAACTGTTGATTATTAATAGAATGAATGACTATTATGCCATAGCACGGAGTTAGCTCTGTAGTAGTTAACCCTGGTCTCAAACAAATACATCTTCCTTTTTATCGATGTTCAAATGTAATACCAAGGCTAAAACAGTGTCTCTAGTGTTGTTGTTTTGTTGATCTCTATTAAGAAGTGCGTGATGAGGGGCTAAACCTTTAAATTCGTTAGCATTTTTGTCATTCAACTCCTCCTGTTAACAAAATCTTAAAAGATATTTACATTTTGTTCTATGATTTAAAATACGTCTGAGCTTTTAGGTGTCTTGAAAACGGCGGTTACTAACAAGCGACCAAATGAGACTAAACTTCATCACGTCGAACATTAGCCAATAGCCACCTTTAGCTTAGCGGTGGTGATGCGCAGCCATGCAACCATCATGTAGTTTGTTTACAGCATAACGTCCGCTTTTTACTGCCGATTGCTTTTACGTTTGAAAAATCGAAAAACGAACTCTGGCGACCTTTCACCTCCACTTAATTAAATGCATGGTTGCAAGATAAAAATGTGAGTTAATTGATTTAGATAAACATTTTAAGTTGCAAACATTAATTTATAAGTTGTGTTGACGTAATAATGTTGGTAATTACATCAACTTAATATTGTGTGTAATTTGAACTCTGATTTCTGCGTTAATTGACTTAAAACTAAATTCAAGTTGTAGTAAGTATGCAATTGGCTTGATAACTTAATTGTTCTACACCTTGAGTTAAGGATTTCAAGTCCACTCCCACTTAACATGCCTGGACAAGTTCCCACAGTTAAGACAAATAGAAATATACAAAGGACATTTTAAGGTGAGTGTCATCTTTTGTCATTCAAATACAGTAGATAGCCTTGTAGTTGCACTGTATAGGCAAACTGCTGTTTGACCAAAATGATTAGCCTTTGAACTGTGAATAGTTCTGTGAGAGGATACAAAGTAGAGGCTACTGTGAGAGTACAAATACTTTGGGTACTATTGTGATATCGCTTTTTATTAAAAATGAATCTCGGTGAAGCAGATCAAGGATGCTTCTTGAGGTAGGATCCTTATTTAGAGTTGTCATTGAAATGCAAGTTGTTGGCAGTCACCCATTCAGAATATATTCATTTAGGTCATTTCTCTTTTTTTCCTTTTTCAAAATAGCACAATACAATTAAAGTACGCAGAGAACTATAGCCATCCGCTGCCTTGTCGTGTACCTTGGAGAAAAGGAAGAGGACCTTTTCAAGGAGTTTAGCGACGTCATTAAAAATCTTGAAATAAAATAAAATCCACGGGCACAGTGTAAAAACACAGGACAAAAGCACTGCTCTCTGTCAGCTACATTTTGAAGCATATTGCACTTTTGGCCACACCCCAATCAATAATATCTTAGCAACGTTCAGCATGGATAGGTGTTGACAGCAATGGCATGGGAAAAGGATTGTGTAACATTTGAAAAGTGGCTTCTGCTCTTCACTTAACCAGTTCACATATTGTATGGAACCTGCTAATCAGATGAGAAGATACACTAAAACTTGCACGGTTGTGATTGACAAAATCTGTCCACATGCATTTAAACACTAGGCAAAGTACTCAAAAGCACCTCTGTGTGTCTTCAGGACCACATTGCCATGACGACACACACATGCAGACTCAATAGGTGAAAACAAGACCAGCGTTGCTTTAGCAGCTGGTAATAATGGCTCTGAATTCGCTAAGAGTGACAGTTTGAAAAGTATGCATTACCTAATTCATTATCTCTTCTGCGCTAACCTATTATTTAATGTGCTTCAAAAGGACATGAATATCGCCTTCATCAGTGACCGGTCCACCCCAGGATCTGACCATACGATGGCAACCATCGTGGTCGAGGGAAACAAATGAATGAGCAAGCATTCTGCGTTAAATGTGTTCACACTGTTTGAAATAATGACTGTCGGCAGTGTAAACATCTTTGTTACATCTTTTGTAAAATGGATGTGTGTGATCTGCAGACTGGTGGCCATTGAGAGTTAGTTTCTGTAGTTTTACAAAGACTTTACAGATGTTACACATTTGGCACTGGTTTTAAATATGCAACGGCCTCTAACTTCGATGTGATGGCAGCATGTATTTGCTGTGTCCCCATGTCCCATGGTAATATGGCTAATGTGTTTATTTATTATTTGTGGGGCAATTTAAATTTGTGCTATTTATCTTTTTTTTCAAGATTGAAATTAAGCTCAGCGCAAGTTCTTTCAGGAAGACTGGGTGTATATACATTCACTCCGTAGCTGCATATAATCAGCTCATCACAGGTGTTCTCTTTAACCTATTACATTTCACCTCATTCTCCAGCAGCCAATCACCGTGCTGCAGCCAAACTATAAAATGGTTGTCCTCTCTCCTGCAGTCAGCTGTGATTTCAGGTGTTCATGCACCTTATCATAGGCATGTGTCAATACATGTTCAAACTAAATGAATTCTCTCCTCATTGAAACATCATGTGTTGAAATAAACAACTGCAGTTCAAAATAAAAAGTGAATTTCCTAATATTTTTGTTGTGGAATCAATTAATTAATTTCTTTAAAGGTAAAAACATGAAAAAGCTAAGAAAAAAAACAATTGAAAACAATATATTTGGAGCAACTTCATTTATAAATGTTTGTCAACTTAAAAACGTGTGTTCACAATGATGGTAATTAAGTACATACAACTTAAAATTCCTTTTAAGTCATACGGTAAAACAAGTCGGAACAACTTAATCTTTTGAGTAATCAACTTAAAACTTGTGTTTATGCTACCAATAATGAAGTAAGTGGTAATTAAAAACACCTCTGATTGTAGAGGAAAAGCCTTCTCCCCTAACTCAAATAACTTTGTTGCTTTAAGACAATTTCATTCTCGTTGTCTTAACTCAATAAACATCGATGCAAACTGTTGCGTTGATTTTCTTTGTTGAGCCAAGGCATTTGTTTTTAGAGTGTGGTGTTCAAATGTTGAGATTCTTCTAGTATCATACACATTTGTTTGCCATCGAGTTAGCTTTCCAAATTCAATGGTAAGTCCCATTGCCGTTGTCAAAGGAGCCCTTGCGATGCTAACTTCCTTGTTGGCCGACAAAACGTCATCCCTGCAACAAAAACCTTTTTTGTCTACATCAAATTAAGTTTGTACACTTATCCATATTACTTATATATTTCCAGTACTAACAATAGAAATTAATTGAACTCATTGTTTTCTTTATTAGTTTTGCAACGGAAGAGAAGAGGTTGACGAGGATTCATTTTAAGGTTATTAAGTTATAACCCAATATACTGTATACAATAGTAAAATAGCTGAACAACCCTACATGTGGGCGCAATATAAAGGTCTGGAACAGGGCAACTACGTAAGTGATTGCCTCTCCTCAAGAAAACCAGACACTGACCCTGAAAATAAAGAGATCTTCAGACAGCTTAGATGCCAGTGCATTCAGAGTGTATTAAGTTATGTTATCACTGGTCCCCTTATGCTTCACATTCACTTGAGAGCATTTGTCTTTTCTGCTGGTATGATTAAAGTTGTACTTGTATCAAAGCAAAATGAAAAGATATACTTTAACCAAATGCTTTCAAGACTAGTCTAATCAAATGTTCCTTAATCCCCTCTGCCCTAATTATATGCATTTAATAAAGACATCTGTGTGTGGAATTCAATTGAGAGCAGTTAAAAATAAATCTTTAGCTCAGGGATGAACATTTAAAATTCACTCTAAATTATTCTGAGTAACAGGCACAGTACGGTAGTCCACATTGTGATTAATTGAGACACATCAGTACCTGCCCTTGGGTGATTCATGCAATTACACCGCTGTGTACATTTATCGGTTTCTAAATCCGCTGATATTTAGTCTCCTCGCTCACAGACCTGAGCTCCGGATGCTGTTCCTCCCTTGGAGGATGATATATCCTCTCCGTGACTGTGAAGGTTAATGATATGGGTCACTTGTCCACCTCCCTCGTCTCCTTCTTGTCCCCATCCTCCTTCTCCTCCAGTCTCTTTCCTCTCCTCTCTTCACCCCTACTTACCCATATTCTTTTCCAAGTCCCCATCCCCCATCCCTCCTTTCTCCATTCCTGTCACTACACCCCCTCCGTCATTCCCTCAACCGTGTTCACCCCTGCACCCACAATTTGAATAGGTTTCTCCTCTTTGCTATTCCTTTGCCATAATCAATTGTATCCACAGGAGTGCTGTGGCTGTGCATTGTTGCTGAGTGCCTATACATCCTCCTGTTGGCCACCGGAGGCCTCCTCATGTCCATAGAGGTGTGTCACTTGGGCAATGTCATCGACGGCCTCAAGCTCAACGCCTTCGCTGCCATATTCACTGTGCTCTCAGGTGAGTAGCTTCATTTTATTTGTCATATTTGCCATAAAATGAAGCACAGTTATAGGATTCAAATCTAAATGTTGAATATACAGTAGATGGTTGCAGTTAACATACAAAAGAGAATCTCTTCACTTTTTGGGTGTTTTTACTGAAGTTAGAGTGAAAACTTAATTTCTTTAGAAGTAGAAATATGTTTTCTTATGTTTCTGAAAGAAAACGTACTCGTTGTCTTCTGTAGTGTTCTACTAATTGAGATCCCTTCATAGCCAAAATATGACGCAACCTTTTTCAAAGTGCACACATTGTTTAACAACTTTTAGTGATATGTTGTCTATACATTAAGCATGCTGTTGAGTTTGTATTCCACTCGGAAAGATTAAGCTAGCCACCCAGCTGTATGCGTACTAGCTTCCACCCAGGAATTGGTGGCTAGTTTCCTTTCGTCCACGCTATTTCATCTGAAGCTTCTGCACACTCATTGCCATGTTTTTGTCTTCACTATAGTGCATTCGCACTGGAATTGGGGCTACGTTTCACCTCGTGTTACAGTACTTGAATGTGTGACCAAGGCATCATCCGTTTACTGGAGTCGCTGAAACTATAGATGCACCAGAGAGGAGTCGGGGCTCATCTCTATTTACATACTTACAGTAGATACCAACCAAGCCATTGCTGAAATCCTTATCTTGCTGCTATGTGCATGTTGTGAAAGTCCCAGATATGTCGGGAAAGCAAAAAGCTTTGTTTCTGGGTTCATAACATCATCCAAAGACACTCATTGAATTCCACAGAAGTGTATTCACTGCCTCTGGCAAGTAACAAGTCTGCTGAATCAATCGTGTATAATACAGGGGTATGAATCCAAAATGTACATATTTTGCCATCATTTTATTACAATAAACATATCAGAGAGATTCCAAAATAAATCAAAACATAAAATTCCAAACTACGTAATGATACTGATTAAGCCTGGAGTAATTATTTGTCAGGTCTTTTCACATGATGGCAAGCAAACCCCTTATAAAATGATTGTTTTGTGAATGGAGCTAGGCTAGGCTAAGCCACCTTGCTCCGTAAACAGTCAAAAATAAGATCCTGTAACATAAATAAAGCATTGAATTAATCTATCATGCCATATAGATGGTCTGTGATTTGAACACATGCATTCATGAACATCGATATTCCACCTGTCTCACTCGCTTCATACGTGCCGCTAAATCTGGGTCATTGCACTGCACGTGTCCAGTTTGAACGCACCTTTAGAAACGAGTTGTTCTAGCTAGCGTTAGCTATCACTATCTATACATATCACTAGCTATATTTTATGGGTCCAGATGTAAAAGATTTTCAAAACAAACAAGCAGCACATACTCCTGTAACCGCTGCACACGTACCTTACCCGGTAATTCGAGCCACAACACAGAGTAATGTAAAAAGTCACGTAGTAATGTAGGGAGTGCTATACAGAACGTAACGCATGACAATAATTGGTTTCCAGCTGCTTAACTGTCTGGATTTAGGTGTTACAAATGTATTTCTTGCCTCGACATATTTCATCATAAGCAGCGCAGGCCTGTGACACGAGTTTCCCCCATCATCCAAACCCATCAATTTGAGTAAATATTGTCCCCTTGAAAACCGTTACTGAACTGATTTTGGATATTTGTACTTTGATAACCATTAATCTGCCCTTCAATGTTGACCATTTTCTGGATCTTCTCTGGGATTCTTCAAGTCCCGCCAAATTACGTGTGACGTCATTGCGGGCACAGCGCTCCAGCTGCACCGTTCAGGATCCCAGCAGCTGCATGTAAACGCACGATGGTGCACACAGCAGCAAGCTCAGACAGCGATGACAGTTTAATTTTGAACGTGTCTGAGAGCTCATATGAGGCTGAAGGATCGGTTTATGTTGTATCTGTTAGAAGTTTAGGAATTAGGTGCGTCAATATGGGCGATCATACGGTCATGTAGCCAGTGGTGGAATGGGACTAAAAATCATCCCGGGACTCTCGACCGGCCCACTTCGGTACCGCTAGTAAATTGTCAACGGGGGGAGTGGGGGATGTCAGGGGCGGCGGGTGCTGTAGATAGTAAATGTAAATATGTAAATATTTGTGTCACTGCATCCTGGTAAAATACAAATATAATGCAATGTCTGTGTCTTTGACATTAGCGCTGCCAGCCACCTGTGCCCTGTACTACGAAGCCAGTTCAACAGACCCTGGATATGTTTGAGTAACAAACAAACTAACAACAACAAACTAACAAACGAGATCTCGCTAAGCGGTCCTACGACGCTGGTTATGAACTCGGTAAATCAAGCCAGGGTTTCTCTCACCAGCTGAGAGCGCGTTCACGTCTAAGACACGAGTGGATCTGACTTTAATTACATTTGACTGTGTTTCGTCAACATAATGTGTTGCTAAAAATAATACTTCTGCATACAGTATGTGACACTGTAAGTGTTGCACGGCCAGACACGGCAGATAAGGAAATATATGATATATTATGATATTATATGATCGATGATCTGATTGATGATGTAATATGAATGATAAGTGCGACACGTCGGCGTCTTCTCTGCATACGGCAGTTTAAACTGTATTTCCTTTATCCTGTAATATGACTTGAGAGATTTAAACTCCGCACACTGAGTTGATCTCTTTTCTATAGACGCCGGAGGCGGGCAGCGTCAGGTAAAAAAAGTTATTTAGCCTTCCCAAACCTGAGCCTCACGCGCCGCCTATGGGGGATGTGCTAGTGATTTATCCGACCGGCCCACTTCGGTACCGGCCCATCGGGATTCGTCCCGATGGCCAGTCCGCGACTGCACCCAGCCCAGTAAACTGTCAACGGGGGGAGCCTCGCTGCGGGGAAACGGTGGACCTAGTGTCCCGATCGGAGTGGGAATAATAATAATAATAATACGTGCATTTTATCCATTAATTTCCCCAACATTGTGGTGAAAAAAACACACGTTTGTGTTGGTGTACTACAACTACAAAAAGCATCGGTTTGTTTTCTCATCAGGAAATGCAGACCGGCTCAAACAAACGATTTTTAATCATCATCCTCACGATCATTTAATGTATCATATGTTCGCCGAATTGACATGAAAGCACTAATTCATGTAGTTTCATCCACTTGAGTTTACAACTACAAAAATAATCGATTTGTTTTTATATCACATCCTACGGGAGGAAATTCAGCTCTCACTTCCGATTTTTAATCCTAATGTAATCATCATCTTCACCACGATCATTTATGTTTATGTTCGCCGAATTGACATGAAAGCACTGACAAATATGAATATACTGTAGTCAACTTCATTAAAACGTTATTAACGTGCCTAAACTCAGTAATTCACCATTTCTACGCATGACAACACACTTTGTCCGTGTTTGGCTCTCTCGCCGCATAGTGAAGCGTTCCCGCATTGACGTCACTTCCGGCTTCCCCCAAAACTTCAAAATGAGTCGAAGGAATTTCCCGCGATGTTCGAAATTATTGATATTTAACGGAACGGTATCGCTTTTTCTTTTTTAAACTGACGGTTCGAGATTACTAGTAGCCCAATATTTCATTGCACAACAGTTGTTGGGATGCTGTCACAGGCTCTTTAAGCCCCAAATGTGTTTAGCAAAGCCCCTTATACACAAATCTTTCAACAAACAGGATAGGTATACTGTAAACTTGTAATTTCAGTTAGACTTTCAAACAATTTAGACCTTTGTTCTGTTTCAATGATGGCATATGACCAAAACGTATGAGCCCCTTTCAGCCCCTGCGAAGATATCCAGCCTGTTTCCAGTCGGCCTTCTCTCTTGGTGGAGGATTTAACAATGACCTTCTCTCTATACTAATCCACTCTGTGAAAACGATCCTGACAACCACAATCTAGACAGTGAATAAGCAGCGAAATATACTCTGCTCAACGGCAAAAACTCAGCATTTCGCTGACTTTAACATATCAGGCTCAGGAAATGTATAAAAGTGCCATTGGGTGAGGAATAGTACACCTGGCTCCAAACTTCAAACATGTTCTTTGATGTGAAAAGTTTGTAACATATCTATTGTTTCGAAACAACCAGGTGGTACAAGTAAAATAGCCTTTAGCCCTAGAATAGCCTGAATTCTAGGGTGAAATGAGAGAATCTCACTGTGTTAATCTTGAACCTTAAAACTGAAGTTTCAAAAGATGCAACAATCAGACTGGTCATGGGTAGAGCCAATCACATTTGAACTGATGCAGCTATAAAGATTTTCCTGAAGATGAAGACAGCATTCAAGTTGAAATGTTAAGATGTGATCTCCATAACTCATCTCTCTATTCAATTAAACTCCACATTTTGGGAAATGCGCTTATTAGCTTTGTTCAATTAATAAGATAAGTAAATCTATACCACTCCTGTCTATGTGGTAAGTAAAGGGCTCAAGATGCGTAGCGATAAATCTGTCTTGACATTTTTTATTACGTCAGACTTCCTCTAGGATTGACGTTGTCGGCATCTTGGCATCCAGGCTAATCTAAAATGTGTTGACAGACAGCTAGCAGTTAGCAACCTGATATGACACCTATGACCCAATGCGTCCCTAAAAATGCATAGCTTTAAGGCATAACAATTAGGGATGCACCGAATATTCGGCCACCGAAAATTATCGGCCGAAAATGGTTAAAAAGGCCCTTTCGGCCGAAAGGGTTTTAGCACCGAAAAAATATCACCGAATGTCAGAACAGGCTTACGTTGGTAACCTAACGTGTTGTTGTGATGACGTAATAAAGACGCGGCGACCATGCTCGCGGCTGGCTCACAGGGGGGGGGGGGGACATTGACCTTTGTCATTGAGATTGCCCTGAGCCTTTAACAAATCGTATTAAATAATCTGATGACAGACTGTAAACAGAATAGCTGAAATGTTAACAAACTAAATAACTCAGTTACCTCTAATCATTAACCCATGTTTGTATCATGTAGTTAACTCCGTGTGTTGCTGCTAGCATACAT